GATGAAATCATGCATCGGATTGCTAAGGCTACCAGTGCTTTCGGCAAACTTCTCCATCACTTGTAAAATGAGCTGGATATTCGACTGGATATGAAAATTCGGGTTTACAGAGCTGTTGTACCTGCCATCCTTTTGTATGGCTCAGAGTCATGGACTCCATACAGGTACCATATACGCCAGCTAGATGTTTTCCATAAAAGATGTCTGCGTGTAATCTGTGGAGTTAAGCTTCAATATAGGACATCTAACGTAGACCTGTTTAACAGGTGTAATATTGGTGGAATCGAGACTTTTATCATACAGTCTCAGTTACGGTGGAATGTTCATGTCTTGAGAATGTCTGATGACAGGATACCTAATATCCTAATGTACAGCCAGTTACATCAGTGCTACAGCAATGGCTAAGATACAAAGACAAGCTGAAAAGCAACTTGTCAGCAGTCAATATACCACATAACACCCTTGAGCGCTTAGCTTTGGAGCGGGTAGAATGGAGATCAACGTATTTTAGTGGACTCAGCAATTTTCAATCTTCAAGAAGCGAGAGCAAGATCTAAAATGTCAGCCAATCTATCTCATCTCACAATCCTCACACTTGCTCCATATGTGGCCTCCTTTGCAAATCACTATCGGGTCTTAAATGCCACTTAAGATTATCGCACAAACTTTCTTAACTGAATCAATAAGCTGTCCGATCTTCATACGTCGAATGATGGAAAGTCCATCCATTATATATATATATATATATATATATATATATATATATATATATATATATATATATATATATATATATAAAAATAATAAATTTAGGGTATTTAGGTAAATTATTATAGTAATTCATCGAGTCTAGAAGAATCCTCAACAGAATGCAGAAAGAACTGGACGGCCGTTACGTCTTATATTTGGAGTCATCAGCAGTGCGTATCCACTACAGAGATTCGAACACATACCGCAAGCATCATACCAACTCTACCAACGGGCCTCGGTGAGGAAGAAAAATTGCATAAACTCGATAAAGTGACACTACCCATAAATTCCGAGCTGATACTCATCTAAATATTCATCACCTAACGGACTGTGATCCAAGAACCCCAAATTTCCTTTCCTTTGAACCGATCCATCGCAGAGCATTAGCTGGTTCAAACAAGGATATACACATAATAGAACTTTGGGGATGTAGGCAAATCATCATAGTAATTCATCGAGTCTAAAAGAATCCTCAACAGAAGGTAGAAAGCACTGGAAGACAGTTTCATCCTATTTGGGGACTTATCAGCAAAATAAACTCGATATAGCGTTGAGAAGCCACTTGGAACAGATCGGTTTGAACTCTGTCACGTATAAACACTAAGTTATAACGTGCTCGCTCGCTTCTGTTGTTTGTAGGAGTGTTTTAAAGGAAAATGTGTAGAGTGTGGTCATCTCATCATAGAATAGACGTTACCATATTGACCATGGCTCGGGTAGCATTTTAGAGGTAAACAGATGATTCCCCAGATGTCATTCTTTGGGTATTTTTGAGCTTTCCAAAATCAAATGCCACTTGAAAGGAACGAGATATGACGTCGAAGAAATCCAAGAGAATGTAGTCCGCTATCCCGCAAAAAAAGTTCCAGGAATGCTTCCATGAATAAAAACGAGGCTGGGTAAAGTGTGTAGCTTCAGAAAGTGATTACTTCGAAGGAGATTACATACCGAAATGATGTATGTTATAGTTTTTTTCTTATAACACAAATCGCGTTAGTTTTTTTTTATCACACCTCGTATATACGTATGTGTTTGTTGTTTCGGCAGCAAGTACATTCAGGAAGCGAGTTTCTCATGTTGGCGGATTAATTTCCTTATCTTGCTGTTGAGGAAGTAAACCGGTCTATAGATATCTGTATTTCCTCTTGATCTTCCAACCATTCGACTAGCTTCTCTCACTATCAGGAAAGAATGGAATTGGATGAAATTGTACGTCCGCGTGGGAGTTTGCTCGTGCAATATAGTTTTAAATATTTACCTTCGAAGTTTTTTTCGGATATATAACAGACAGAGCTTGCTGATAACTTTAAGAAAACATGTCTGAAAGCATAAACACGTATATAATTTTATGTGACGTTATTTCTTATTAATATAAGCATTATTTTCACTGTGTACACATCTTTGAGTTGGCATACTGTTTTATATTTATTATTTATTATATGCAACAGGAAAATTTGTTACCTCGACTAATATTCGATAACTAATGTTTAATTTTTTTTTTTTAATAAATGAAAAAAGCTTTATTGAAACTTTTATTTTAGTTTTAATTGAAAGATGAATAGGTGACATGAAGCAACTGCCATAAGGGAAATTAAGTTTCTGAAAACGATATTTATGATAAAGTGTTTGGATTATTTAACATTCACTGGTTATATTGAAGGACGAAAAAGCAGAAGGAAGGATATGTGTATAAAGCATGAATGCATAGAACAACTACTACTACTATACTACTACTACTAATAATAATAATAATAACAACAACAATAATAATAATAATAATAATCTTGTATCAGGTTGCTCGGCATTGTCACCCACTGAATATAAAACCCGGCACGAGAGAGTGGTCCAATAACTGCTACTTCTAGGGGAAGGAATCTGAAAGAGACTGGTATGAACACCACCCAGACCCGGATACGGAGATAGGGCCTGTAACAATTCTATGGGACTACACAATACACACTGACAGAACAATCAAAGCGAACCGCCCAGACATTGTTATTAGAGACCACAAATAAAACAAAATGTGTCTCCTTATTGATACGGCAGTCCCTGCAGAAGGCAATGTATCTTTGAAGATATTCAAAACGCTATAAAAAATACATGGACCTTGAAATCGAAATCTAAAAAATGTGGCACATGGGAACATCAACAATCCCTGTTGTAGTTGGAGCCCTAAGATTGGTTGAAAAAGATTCAGTAGACTCATTGAAGGGATTCCTGGAAGCCCATACCTTAAAGAAATAAAAAAAAATCCCAAAAATACAGTCAACTCCTTACGAAGGGGATTTATCTATGTAAAATACGTGTTTTCTTAAGTGGTCAGTGGAAAATGACATGATACCATTTCTGACCTTAAGTCTCTGGGCGGGACCCAGAAAGAAATCAGTACACACCAGAAATCACAGGAAACAGTAAAAACAATAATGATAAATAAATATGGATTCTTCATATATTCTTTTCTGTTGGAGCCAAATTTCTATAATTGAATGAATTTAATTCTGAATTCCAAAAATGCCACGGCATAGGCAAAAAAATTTTGACCATCAGACTGACAACCTCGATTTGATAATGATTGAGACTGTTGAAAATATCTATCTATCTATCTCTATCTCTCTCTCTATCTATCTATCTATCTATCTATATATATATATATATATATATATATATATATATATATATAATTATTTATTTAAAAATATGATTCCAAATCGCTACAAAGAGGTCTCATGTTTTAAAACAAGAGCCGAAAACTTCAATATAATCCTTTAAATTAAATTGAGTTGAAAGTAAAATGGGCTCCGTTCCATCTTCAAGCGAAAGGGACTTTGGATTATTTACCTAACCAGTTCCTTCCTATTTTCTATATATTTTCACACACATATATATATATATATATATATATATATATATATATATATATAATAACGAGAATAAGATATGTATTTCGGAAATTTTTCTCTAGTTTTAAAAGAAAACAGAATGAATGGTCATCAGTAAAAGGATGAGCCCAAAATGCGATTTGCAGTTTGGTAACAGTAGAATCAAGCGGACGTGGAATTTTAAATACCGGATGTCCCTGTAAAAGTATAGGGATGGCCAAGGACGCATTCCAAAAACTGGGCTGAGTATTGCGAGACAGGCGGATTTCTTTGGTAACAAAGAAAATGATATTGAGCTCTTACGTGACATCTGTCCTTTTTTACGGCAGCGAATGTTGGACGATTTCCTCAAAGATGAAGAAGAGACTCGAAGCGACAGAGATGTCGTTATACAGAAGAATGATAAGATATCATGTGTCAAGCGAATGAGCAACGACGAGGTCTTAGAAAGGTTGCAAACAAGGAGGAGGCTTATACTTATCAGGAAGAGGCAGCTGAAGTTCTCGGGACACATAAAGGGGAAAGAGGATCTGGAAAATCTGATACTCACTGGTCGAATAGAGGGAAAGAGAGACAAGAGAACACAACACATGTCATATCTAGCAGCTTTACGCAAGTGGATGACAGAACGTGTTCTGGAGGAGATAGCAGAGGGAAGGAACTTGGTGAGAGCTGCAAGCGATAGAAGAAAGTGGAGAGCCATGATTGTCCACGTTCTTAAAGGACACGGCACATAGAAAAACTTAAACAGTGCATTTATTAGCTCCACAGAAGCATGTATTTTTCCAGGGATACATATAGTTTGGACTTTGTACTTGAGTTACTAATCATTAAGCAAGGCTAAAGAGGCCAGTCTGCCGTAGCCTTAAAACCAGCTGAGACAACAACATTATTTGTGCTAAAATGAATATAACGAAACTCGAACGCGAATCTCTGATTTCCTGTTCCGAATCGCTATGCATTGCACAACTCACAAAATGAAATAAAATAAGAACAAACAATTCACTGGGTCTGAATTATTGTATTTTTGTATTGATGCGGCATTCACCCTGGGCGGATTGACCGGCTTCTTCTTGTTGTGAGAAGAAGATTCTTGGGATAAATTACAGAAGTAGGGTACCCAGGCCTACTCGGATAACGTTCTTGCTTGCCGCGGGGTTTCCACAGACGCAGAGACAGGAACGACCAGAAGACGCCGGTTACCGATGCAGACGCTCCTTGGATTTTCACCAGAGCCCTTGTTAGCCGGCGTGTGTGTCAGACCTGTCCGCCTTGGGTGGCCCTACCAGGAACGAAGTTCCGGGTGGCATAGCTCTGACACTACCGTTAACACCCCCCCACCGACTGTGAGGCAAGGTTGGACATTGGGGGCTTACAGTACCAGGTGTTCCCAAGCGGTCCCCCATCTAAGTACTGACCTGGCTCTACGATGCTTAACTTCGGTGATCGAACGAGAACCGGTGTTTTCAGCGTGATTGGGTCTGAATTTATTGATTGATTTGTTTTTTTACGGACTATCAACAATTTATTTAAAGCCAAAACATATTTTCAGATTGTTTTGTTCGTAAGTCAATATAACTAAACCAACTGGAATTAGAACTAGGCTATCCAATTTTCAATTTGTAACCATTATCCATTACACCACCCGCACATCCGCAAAGGGTAATTCATCTGGGTACTAACGTCCGTTAACTTCGGTTATCCTACGGGAACCGCCGTTTCAACGTTATATGGCCGTAACCCTTATACATACATACATACATATGTGTGTGTGTGCGCACGTGCGTGCGTGTCAGCATGTGTATGTATATATTGATAACATTAGTTATCAATATATATATATATATATATATATATATATATATATATATATATATATATATATATATATATATATATATATATATATATATATATATATATATAAATAAAATCCAGGTAGAGCTCTATATCAAATACAGAGCAAGAATATAATATAAAAGGCTCACACACTAATAATTAATTCATGTTTATAATTTAGCACATAGTTATCGTAATCACGACCCAATTCATCAAACCTAAAAATACAAAAAGTATATTTTGAATTTATATGTCTGATAAATTGGTTCGTGATTACAATTCAATGTAAGAAATTATAACCATGAAATATTAGGTTTGAGCCTTATATATATATATATATATATATATATATATATATATATATATATATATATATATATATATATATATATATATATCCTTTTAATGCACTTATACTACAATATCTCTAAACGTAGACTGTGCACTGACTTGATATCGCAAAGATCTGCCAAGCCCCTTGCTATTAAGACAGTCATGGCATATCCTGCCAGAGCACAATTCATTCAAAACAGACTTTTATATGATGTGAAATGTGTGCACTTTGATTCCACATGTCATCTATGAACGCTGGGTCCAAATAAATAATGAGTTTGAGTAGACGACTTGCAATGGTTCCTCCCTAGGGTGTGTTTCTGCAAAGCTCATAGGAAATAGTGTGCTTACTATTAAAGTATATTTCCATTAAAATGCTTATGACAATATAAGTTGCCGTAAAAGCTTTTGGAATGGGCTCGGCTGTATGAGCGTTCCGAAACATTGGACTGGCTTCGATGTTAAACGTGAATATTAAGGTTGCTGTAAAATGACAAGGGTGACGGAAGGAAGAAGCGTAGGAAAATATGGCTGACAGTTTGGAGGATAGTGTGATTAGAATGAAAATTAATTGAAGTTGGTGAAATATATGAGTAAAAAAAAAAGGGATGGAAGATTAAGAAGAGCATGAAGTGAAGAAGTTGGATGAAGAAGAAAAGAAGTGGAGATAAAGAAGTAGTAAGTCGTGAAAAATAAGTGAGAAAAGAAGAAAAATAAGAGGAGAGAAATAAGCACAAGAGGGAAAAGCGGAAAAAGGAGGAGTAATTAAGAAACGAAGAAAAAAATCTAGAGAAGAAGAAGTGGAAGAAGAAGAAGAAGAAAAGGAAAAAGGAAGAAGAAGAAGAAGAAGAAGAAGAAGAAGAAAAAAAAAGGAAAAAGGAAGAAGAAGAAGAAAAGGAAAAAGGAAGAAGAAGAAAAGAAAAAAGGAAGAAGAAGAAGAAGAAGAAAAGGAAAAAGGAAGAAGAAGAAGAAGAAGAAAAGGAAAAAGGAAGAAGAAGAAGAAGAAGAAAAGGAAAAAGGAAGAAGAAGAAGAAGAAGAAGAAAAGGAAAAAGGAAGAAGAAGAAGAAGAAAAGGAAAAAGGAAGAAGAAGAAGAAGAAGGAGAAGAAGAAAAGGAAAAGGAAGAGAAAAAGAAATAAATGAAAAAGAAGAGAAACAGATAGGGGAAGAGAAAGAAATAAATGAAAAAAAAAAAAAAAAAGAAGAAAAAGAGTAGAAGAAGTAAAATATGAAAAAAAAAACGAAAAATAACAAGGATATGAAAAAAGAACATGCGAAAAAGAAAGAAATGCATAGAAGGAAAATTACAAGGAAATCATGAAGTTAACAAGGTGAGAAGAGGTGAAAAAGAAAATGAAAAAGAGGGAGAAATCTGAAAATCAACGGAAAATAACTGAAAGATAGAAGGAGGACGGGGGTGAATGAAAAAGAGGAGAAGGGAGAGGAGGAGGAGTAATCCGAGAATAAAACAGGTGAAAAAAGTTAAATTAAAAGAAGTGAAAAAGGAGAGGAATTACGATGGGTAAGGATGAAGGAACATGACAGAAAAACGATGTAAAGTGCGATAAAATGAGAATAGGAGAACGCGGGAAAAATAGCAAAAGAGAAGAGAAAATACAATAGTGAGAAACAAAAGAGTGAAGACGAAAATGATGAGAAAGGCAATAAAATGGAAGATGATTAATAAAATTAGAAAGTCGTACAAAGAAATGGTGATACCAGATATATCATAAGAATTTGATATTAGTCATATATATATATATATATATATATATATATATATATATATATATATATATATATATATATATATATATATGATGGCGTATATACAGAAATATCTTTTACAACATTAACTTTAACCTTTAATTTGATTAACAATTTTAAAAGTTTATTTTATTAAATATTTTGTCTGTGGTATATCTTATTCCTCCATGTAAAAAATGTCATTTATGTGTAATACTTCTGTCAATAAAGAGTTTTCTCTATTTCATCATATTTGTACAGAAAATTATACTTGTCAAAAGTCAGGTATAATTTAGAAAAAATTCAGCGTTCTTAATAATACACATTGTTGTCGTCTGATATTCCACATTAATTAATTGAAGAAGCTGAAATTTATGGAATTACCTAAATAAATGAAAATAATTGTTTAATTAAGGTTTCTTGAAATTGTACTGAATTATTTAAAATATTGAAGGAACTCATGATAGCAAAACAAAATATTCTTAGCAACTGGAAGAATTTAGATAAGGCTATTTTCATACTGTAACTGAAATTATGAAAATAACGTTCTCTAAATTCTTCCAGTTGCTAAGGACATTTTGTTTTGTTATTATTAGTTACTTTGTTTAATAAATTCATTTTGTTTTGACTTGAGAAAGTCCACATTGGACAAAACGCGTTGGCATTTATTACAGTTTTCCTTTGACTTTTACATGTATAAATATTGTCTTTTTCTACAGGTTAACTCTGAGAACTTTTTCATGATTGATATTGCATAACATTTCAGCATTATTTCTTTTAATATCCAAAGAATGGTTCCTACATCATAATACATTTTTTTAACTTTGTAAGGTGTTTTTTGCTATTCCAAAGTTGTAGGTGTTGACATTTCCATCCCCTGTTAAATCATATCCCATATATTCAGAATTATTTACTTGTTTGGTGCTGACATGTAGTCCTTCGCATCTTGAGTAGTTTTTTTTTATCTTGCTGACAACCATGGATTATGTCTTACTTAACGTTTTCTTCTCAATCTCGTTTACATCCTTAGAGAAAAGGTCATGTATGCTTGTTCTGTACCTGCCGTCAACACTCATCTGCGTATCTCATATTATTAAAATCGCTCTCAACGATAGCAGGGTCTCCAATGTTCTTAGGTCGCATCGCCATAAAGGTTTAACGAATCTGAAGAAAGTGACAACGCCATTTATTTGAAACGGTCTAATGATAATTTGTGCAAAGATTGAGAGAAATAGAAAAAGGTTCTAACCACTGGGTCACGATTAGACCAGTTGTTAAAAGTATCTTCCTGAAATGTTGTTTTTGAGTAAAAGACATCTATTGTAATTGTTACAATGCTTGAGAGGCACTCAAAGTAGAGAATTAAAGGAATCCGAAGGAAGATAAAGTCGCCCGACTTGACGCTGAGATTTATCAGATATTTTTGAGATAACTAAATTTTGCACAATACAAAACGCGAGAGCCTCTCAAAGTAGACGTGTTTCACTCATAACGAAAATGAGAAATAAATTTAGAGATAAGATTGAAAAAAATGTTAAAAAAGGAAAATTACGTTGAAAAATACAAAAGATAATTATAGGGGCTAAAATTTTAAACGTCAAATATGAAGTGTTTTGGAAAGCACTCACGTAGGATTATCTTCTACAAATTTCCAGTGCTTGGTGAAATACTGTTTATCAGGAACGTCCTTCTTACATTTGGGACAGCGATTCGACTCTATATAAGTGGCATGGTATGTCTTGCAAAATGTTTGTACCAGATAAAAGAAATAGATTTAACATGGGTGGATGGAGATGCGGATTAGCGATAGGCTTGCGTCATTTCATCTCCGAAAAGCTGATTTCACCTTGGATAAGGTTTCTTCACCCAAAAGCTTGTGCAAACGATTTTTAACACTATCATGTTTGGAAAATATAGCTCTTGTAAATGTACGCGAAATGAATGTAGTCCTCAACGGCCACTCTTCTAGATCATTTTTTTAATTAATACATGGTTTTATCGATAGTATATCTAATCAGCTCGATAAGATGAAATTGGCAGTTGATGTAAAAAAAAATATCTGCTGTTAACTAATATAAAAAATAGCTTATTAATTTCATCACTTCACTAACGATACGTGTCTATATTAATCATCTGAGAGACCACTTTTTCCTTTCTATCAGCATAACTTATGCTAACCCCCAGGAAAGTAACCCGATTCGTTTTCTTGTGCTAACATTCGAAACTGACATAAAGTTGGAAGATTAAATTGAATCAATTGCTAGGTCTGAGGTTAATAAATTTAGTTCTCTGTGTTGTGCCAGAAAATTATACTCTCTAGAATATATTTTACATATTTATAAATCTAACATTCGCGCATGATTTTAATATTGCTGTTCATATGGCTCTCTTTCCTGCTATATATTCAGAATTACTACCGAGAATCCAAAGAAAAATCAACAACATTATTAGTCTTACACTTTTCTACAGCGGGGATGTAGCGTACCTGTGCTTTTTTTCTCCGCTGTTGTACGTAGACTTTAGAAATTCAAACGCAGTTCTAGAATGGCAACAAGGCCTCA